TCCTGTAATTAGCTGGCAAATACGTGGATTAAGTACGGGACAATCAGAACCTGGAAAAAAAAGAAACTCCAAGAATCCACTATTAATTATTATTTTTTTCATAATGACCCACTATTAATTATTATAAAGAGCTATTAATTAATTGCAACATGTGGTTATAAAATTCAGAACTTGCCAATTAAGTTTGGGAAGAAAGATTCAGCTAATAATTCAAGTGGGCTTGCATACAGCAAATGCACGAGGCCTTGCTCTTTGATTCCCTTGTTTTTGCTTGACAAAAACTTCACAAAATTTTGTTTAGATTGTTAAACCATGCTCTAATACGATTTTACAATCCTTAATTTTTCGGGGGAAAAGGAGCCATTGGAAGAGATAAGAGAATGGGAAACATGCTTGGCTGGAACATGCAAAGTGGCAAAACCCCATATCCCATCACAGACATAGAAGACACACTCAGCCATCTCAGAAATGCACCGCTTCTCCACGTTGCTTGCCACTCTCGTCACCAAAAAAAATAATTTTTCATTATTTTTGAGTTCCATTTCTGTTGTTAGTTATTCCATTTATTATGACAAATGATAATATATAATAACTAGCTTTGACCCTGCCCTTTGGGCAGGTAACCCTTTTCTTTGTTGTGTATATATACAATTGGACTATATTAGAATTTAAAATAACAAATTTCTAAATCAAGTGAATAGTTTTCCTCGAAAAGTCAAATATAATTCTCAAAATTCCTTACTCCCTCTCAACAAAATCAGATATCAAAATTTAATGTCGAGAAACACCAAAAAAGGAAAACAAAGCATGCATCTCAATTTTCAATTTAGTCCAAAGGAAGGTATGTCCATCTTGAGTCGATTTAGAGGGAAGTCTAGTAGGCTTGTCATGCTGCCTTGAAGCGTAAAGTAGAGTCAATGACGAAGAATCACATATGACACCCGATCCTCCAGTCTACAGTTAGGGTTATTAACGGCCGCCAATGACCGAATGAAGCTCTGCATGATGTATCATATTAGAAATGTCGAGAGAGTTTAGATTCAGTCTCTATACCTTGATAACGCTAAGGTAAATTTGTCAAATGATGAGAATGAGTGAAATGATGGTCATGCAAGAAAATGTAGGGAGAATGGAAGGATTTTTTGGTTTATGTGGATACACTAAATTTTGTAAAAGTTTGACGTGAAGATGACCAAAAACTCAAAATTTTAATTATTTTTATAGATATGTTTTGCGTAGCTATAAAAAAATATTATGAGAAATAATTTAGATACCAAAATATTGTTATTGGGTGAGTAAATAATTATTATTGGAGAAAAATAATTATCACATGTTATAAACGCGCTGCTACGAATCGGGAAATCGCCGGAATCGATAAAGCAAGAATACGAAGGCGAGAATCGAAAATACGACACACGATTTACGTGGTTCACTAACACGATGTGTGTTATACGTCTACGGGCGAGAGAGAGCCAGTTTCACTATATCGAGGAGGAGATTACAGTTTACAGAGGAGTATGAGAAGTATTTATAATACTTCTCCATGTGGGTCTAAACCTAATCCAATATGGCAAAGGAAACGGTTACAGACCAGGCCCAGAACCCCGAACCCAAATAACAGCGAGACCCTCGATTACTAGTCGTAACGGCTGATAGTCCGATTCAAGTCACATCAACATCACAAATAATAATAAACAATTATCTATAATGTATGTCCCCTCCCTCGTCCCTCCACACCACATAACCAAAAGAAACGAAAAAGAAGCCTATGTTAGAAGGATTCTCATTTTTCAGGGGAGGCAATTAAGGAACGAAAAATGTAAAATTTTGAATAAAAGAGGTCTTGAAACCGTTGAGGAATATTTAAATAATAAAAAATATGGTGAATAACCGAAAAACGCGGAGAAGCCATTTAGGCTTACGTGGAGGGGGTCGGTTTTCCAAACCCCTTTAATATTTTTAAAGAAGATAAGTCTGATTCTCTGTTATTTCCCAGGAAACGTAACAGAAAATGTGTGCGAATTTAACTGGAAACTTCGACAGGACGGAAAGAACGGGCGGCCAGCCGCTACAGTGAAAAGCCAACTCCGGCGGACGGACGGCCAACCAGCCGCTACCACGAAAAGCCAACTCCGGCCGGCAGGGCTGACGTCACAGCTCCACATAACATTCCATTGTGTTCCCTTCTCCTCTGTACCATCCGCCTTTCCAGATTCCTTGCTTCCTATTTTGGTTTCCGTATATGTCAATCCGGCAGCTGTCCAATGCTAGCGGGCTACCTCGTTCTGACGAGTGACGACCGTCGATATACGTTGAATACTACTCATTTTTTTTTTTAGTAAAATGGAGTAGTTCGTATAATAACACCAAAGTTAAACGTGTTTAGAATGGATTAATAGAGATATTGTTTAGAGGACGGGTAAAATACATCGGGTATCACTAAAGTATGAGAATTGGGGGAGCTATATCACTTAAGTTTGAATAGGGCGTCGGGTACCACTGAACTTTATTATATGTACACCCGGTACCACTTAAGTTTACTGCTAAGTGCATTCAGTAAAACTTGACAGAATGTTCTTGGAATAATCTGTTTTCTAAATTTCAGAAATGATCCTTCTACTTCTTCTTATTGTAAAAATCCTTTTACTTATGAAAAATATTTTTTTTTATTGTTTAGTTCGAATCTTCTTTTGAATACTCTGGTAACGAACCAATATTTGAATTCTCCTTGTAATTCTCTAATGTTATATTGTAGATGTTCCATATTAGTTAAATTTACTAATTCTAAATCTTTTATTATAATCATACTAGCGTGGCCCTCGGCCATTTGGTCGGAGGAAGGTGATGTATGAAATTTGATAATGTAATGGGGTGTATAGCTTATTGTTGTATAGGTTTTTTGAAAAACACGTGATAAAAATAGTGAATTTTAGTAGGCAAGAGACATGAATGATGCAACGAATAAAAAATCAGCCTTATGAACCAAAATCAAGTACCCGTTACCTTGTGAAACAATATTGTTTCTGGTAATATGATGAGGTGGAGTAAGTTTTATAGAAACCGAATTCCAGAAAATAGAATAAAAAATCGCCTATCCGTCGGTTTTCGAGAAATGAGCATCTCACAATCGTTGCTAGCTTTTACTCGGCCCGTTGGCCGACTAATTTGCTTTATAAAACTTTCATTTTGTCATCATTGTGCTTTCTGGTTTTTTGCCAAGCCATGATAAAATCTAAAGAAATCAAGAATGAACAACACGATTTGGGATAGGAACCACCGTTCCTGTATCCCTTGAAAATGGTGGTAAACACGGACTCACCTGCCAAACTGGTTTGGATTGAGATTTTTATTGGGTATCAGGGAACCATGTGATTATAAATTAGACTTGATCAAAACGGACCAAAACTTGAAATTCAGCTTATTTGACCGACCCATGCCAAACTCTAATTATTCTTTACTTTTAAACTTTCTATTTGAAAATAAAAAATAATGAAAGAAAAGAGATGATTGCAATTCGCCATTTGCACATCACTGATTCGGGAATAAAACTATAGAATTTCGAAAGGAAACTGAAAATGTTTAGGATCGTTTTAATGTTAAAAATAACCAAATAGATCTTTCTGTTTAGTTTTTTACTAACAAATACCAAACGATTCCCTATAATATACACTATAATTTAATCATTATGATATCAAATAATTACACAATATTTATTTGAAATGATAAAAATTGGACTAATTGGGTTGATCGAGGTTGAGCCATTGAATAACTTTAAAATACATTATATTTTAGCCACTAAGATATAAAATAATAGCATAATATATATTATGCTAGAGAAAATAGCTTGTTTTAGAATGACAAACCCATTATGTTCATTTGTTTTACTTAATGGGCAAATCCCGTGTAGGTTAGGCCCATTCAACTCTTTTATTTTATGATTAGCGGTTAGCCATTAGAATCCTTGCATTAGTATATTGTTAAATTTGTTTCTTTTTAGCAATAAAAAGGAGTATTGTTTTTGCCTTTTCATATATATTTTACTACCACAGAAAAAATTGATACTCCTGGACCCGTTTAAATACGCATGTGTACGGTAAGTTGGCCCGTTCCACAAAGGAAAAAGAAAAAAAATTGACACTCCCTATTCTACCATTCCTACAAACGCTCCTGGAGTAGGGAGTTTGAAATGGGGGAAGGGTTTTTTTCTCTCTGCGATTATATGTTTTTAATTTAAAAAGATACAACAAATGTATTTATTTTGATTGGTTATTTGGTTATGATCTTTGTTTTCTTTGAAGTGGTTATGGTTCGAATCCTAGTAAGTGTCTTTTTAATGAATAAAAAAAAGTAATTGTCAAGACCAAAATGTCGTTTCTACTTTTACTCTGGATGGAGGAAATTTAAAATGAGACTTCAAGTTTTCTCATTTGGCTTTTATTTATTGTGTAGATTTTCTTTTCTAGATTTGTTATTAAATATTGTAGCTTTTATAGTTTGCTTAAAAGTTTTGAGTACCAAAAAGTAATTCAATTTTTGGGTTTGACGAAAAATTAGACGAATATACTTTTTGAGAACTTTAATGATACCCGACGCCCTATTCAAATTTAAGTAGAATGACTATTCTAATCATCAAATTTAGGTGTTACCCGATATATTTTACGCTCTGGAGGACATACTTTTTAGAGGACATACGAAACCAAACAGCACCCACGTCACACGTCAGACTGAAAGCCACCACCGGGTGGTTTCCCTTTTCTTTTCTGGGCATTTATTTTCCTTTTTCTTTCTCTCAGGTGGACCAATTCAATGTACCCAAAACCGAAGAAATGATGAATGCACCTGGACTCCAAGAAAATAAAAATAATAAAAGAAATCATTATCACAAAAACTATTATAAATCAATAACAAAATTAATTTGTAACTCCAAAGAGGGGAAAAAGAAATAATTAAAAAAACTGCCAAATTCCTAAGGGGGGGCAAATACATTGCATGTGGGCAGTGTTCCAGTGCGGTACCTGTACACCGTCCTAATTCCGCTTCCTTGTTCCTTTACCACTCAAATACCCACCCACCCTTGACGCAATTTCCATTTCCATTGTTTTCCTATCCTCTTCTTCCTCTTCGCCTTACCCCCTTTCATTTCTTCCTCCGCTCCTTTTTGCCCTCTCCGTAGGGTTCACCTCTGGCTCCGATAAACTCTCTCTTATATGATTCCCGGTTTCCAAATCGTCCAAAGTGTATTATTGCTGCTGATCGTGTTCGCCGTCGCTGGTTCGCTCCTTTTTGCTCCCTTTGGAGGGTTTTCCGTTGTGGTTTTTGCGCTGTATCCATGTCTCAGCTCTTCGGATTCGCTGGTAAGCCCTCGATTTCTCCAATTTCCTTTCCTTTTGGATTGCATCTCTGCTGCTGGGTTTTGTAGATTTCCTGTGAAAGTTTTGAGATTTTGGGTCGATCGGATGATAAATTGCTTGCGGTTTGTTGTTGTTGTTGTTGAGAATTTCGTATGAATTTGTCAACTCTTTGGATCTGGTTGCCGACTTGTGAGTAGCTAGGAAAGGGTCACTGATTCTGGCTAATTGATATAATTGGTTGCTTTTTCCCCTGTTAATCTGATGGAATTAGAGGGGTTAGCCTGGTTTGATAGTTTTAGGTCGATCGCTGGAGCTATGTCTTTAAGTTATCGGGACATAATATTTGAGGGTTGAACATGAACGGGAGGGCAGATCTACTTCGTTCAGCTAAAGATCGAGTTCTTGGATGTTGTTAGTCATACGTTTGTGTTGTAGTTTTGCTTGAACATAGACAAATTTGTAGAAATTGGCCTCTGCGAATGAGAATATTGAACTCTGTTGTTTGGTCTATTGCAGGAAGCGACGACTTTAACTCTGGGGGCACAGTATACACGAACCCCAAGGACACGAGCCTCTTTTTGCCGCTTGGTCACCATGTCGATCTATACTATCCTTCGCGCAAGAGGTCTCGCGTCAGTGTTCCCTTCATCTTTGATGGGGGTATGTTTGAGCCAAAGAAGCAGACTTCTATCGAGGTTCTGCCCGATGAGTGTCTATTTGAGGTCTTCAGATGCTTGGAAGGACAAGAAAGGAGCGCTTGTGCATGTGTTTCAAAGCACTTTCTTAACCTTCTCAGCAGCATCCGCAGGGAAGAGTTTAGCCATGTGAAAGTTACAGAAACTGTGATTTCTGAATCTGTTGAAGAAACTGAAGGTGATGGTTACCTTTCAAGGAGCTTGGAGGGGAAGAAGGCTACAGATGTAAGAGTTGCAGCCGTTGCAGTTGGAACTGCTACTCGCGGTGGATTGGGCAAGCTTTCCATTCGTGGTTGCAATTCGAGTCGTAAGGTGACAGATGTTGGCCTTAAAGCTGTTGGCCGCTGCTGCCCTTCCCTAAGGGTACTTTCTCTCTGGAAATTGTCATCTGTGACTGATGAGGGGCTTTGTGAAATTGCCGAAGGATGCCGCCAGCTAGAGAAGCTTGATCTCTGTCAGTGTCCTGGAATCACAGACAAGGGCTTGCAGGCTATTGCAAGGAATTGTCCCAGTCTTACAGACCTTACAATAGAGTCGTGTGGGAACATTGGGAATCAAGGCCTGCAAGCTATTGGCCAGTCTTGTGCCAATATAAAGTCTGTCTCGATTAAGAACTGTCCAGCTGTTGGTGATCAAGGAATTGCTGGCCTGGTATCGTCTGCTTCATATGCCTTGACAAAGGTGAAGCTTCAGGCTTTGGACATCAGTGATGTGTCTTTGGCTGTGATTGGACACTATGGCAAGTCGGTTACAGATCTTAGCCTTTCCAGCCTTCCAAATGTCAGTGAAAGGGGATTTTGGGTCATGGGCAATGGCCATGGTCTACAGAAATTGAGGTCCCTTGCTGTGACATCCTGCCCTGGGGCCACTGATGCTGGGATCAAGTCGGTGGGCAAGGGTTGTCCAAATTTGAAGCAGTTATCTATCAACAAATGTGCATTCCTATCCGACAATGGGTTAGTTGCATTCGTGAAGTTCTCAGCAGCACTAGAGAGCGTGCAATTGGAGGAGTGCCACAGGATCACCCAGTTTGGGTTTTTTGGTTCCCTTTTAAACTGTGGCACAAAGCTGAAAGCTTTCTCTCTGGTGAACTGCATGGGCATTAGGGACTTGACTGCTGAAACACCTTTGCCGCCTTCCCAGTGTGAATCCCTTCAATCAGTGTCCATCCGCAACTGCCCTGGGTTTGGTGATGGTAGCTTGGCCTTTTTGAGCAAGCTGTGTCCTCAACTGCAGAATTTGGAATTCACCGGTCTTCAGGGTGTGACTGATTCTGGGCTGATCCTAGTACTCGAGATGTGCAAGTCTGGGTTAGTGAAGGTCAATCTCAGTGGTTGCACCAATTTATCCGACAGAGTTGTGATGGAGATGGCTGAGCACCACGGTTGGACCCTCGAGACCCTGAATCTCGAGGGTTGTAGCAGGATCACCGATGCAAGTTTGGTGGCTATTGCAAAAAGCTGCCTTTTGATCAGTGATCTTGATGTCTCAAGATGCTCAATCACTGATGGTGGTGTTGGATCCCTGGCTGCTTCTTCTGGCCTGCTCGGTCTGCAGGTCTTCTCTGTCTCAGGTTGTTCCATGGTATCAGATAAGAGTTTCAAAAGCCTGGTGAAGTTGGGACAGACTCTGTTGGGGTTGAATCTTCAGCACTGCAGTGCAATCAGTAGCTGCACCTCGGAACTACTTGTGGAACAACTGTGGAGGTGTGATGTGCTTTATTGAAGCAAGAACGGTATTTGCTACTCAGGAGTAGGCAGCTGCATCAACAACAGCCTTTTGTGTAGTTTCTTTCGGTCTCCAATCAGCCGAGTAGGGTTTGCATTCTTCCTCCGAGGACTTGGTTTCCTTTTTCCTAGGGACATGGCCATTCTCTTTTTTTCGCAGGCTTTACCTCCGCCCGAGGGAAGTCTGTTACAAGTCTATTTAGCTCTCCCTAACAAATGGGGAGCTCGGTAACTTTCTTTGTGGCCAGTAGTTTCCCTAGAGAATACAGTCAACTGGGTTCTCGTTCTTCTGCCTTTTTCCCTAGGGGTTTTCTTCCTTCTTCTTCCTGGTGTTTTAGCTCAAGCCTGTTGATCCCCCATCATTGGTGTTTGGGTGAAGCTTTTCCTTGTTTAAGCCAATCCGTGTCGAGGAGTCGGTCTGTGAGTTCACTACTAGTTATGGTCTTCTATCTTCTTTTTGTAATCATGTTGTGAGACGTGATGGTTGTTGGGTTTGTGTTTTCGTCGTAAGGATGGTAGAGGAGGGGAAAGTCTTGAGAGTCAATGGTCTTCATTTACGGGCTGCTTTGTGGGAGTTTGGTGGGGGGGAGTTGGTTTGGCCTGTTGGTTTTTGTCTTGGAGTTCTTGGCCATGGCAGCATGTTATATCGTTGCTTGCCATGACAACCTTCTTCAATGGGGGTTGTTTTTTCTGTCAAGCTCCTTGTTTTTCAACAAGCCAAAAGTCTCCTCCGCCTTAGCTCTGTTTTGCAGCTTGTAACACTAATGTATTATGTAATGAAAGATGATCTCTCCTCCCAACCACCCTTTGTTGTTCTATGCTCTGATATGATAATAAATAAATGATTTCTGTTACTCAATTGTCTGTTTCATGTCTGCTGTTCTTGTTGAAACCTCTTCGATATGAGATGGAATATGGTGTATCGTTGATGTCAACATGGAAATTGCTTGTAAGATAGCCTAACGGTAAAGCTGCCGCAACAGTGAAGGCTTGGGAGTTGCAGATCCCAGGTTCGAATCCAAGCGAGGTCCGTTGGTGTTCCCGGAGGTACAAGGCTGCTGGGGGCGAAGCCCCGTTGGCGTCAAATTAAATGCAGGTGGCCCCCAGGTTTAGTAGGACCCGCTGTCACAAAGTGGCACGTGGGGCTGAGGTTCCTGGGTATAAAAAAAAAACATGGAAATTGCTTTGTTTGAATGTTGAGGAAGGTTGTCTCCTTTGAAAGTAACACTATAATATTGAATCGGTTGCTTTTTGACGTTAATGGTAATGGAGGAAAGCAACATCGAGAAAGAGACGTTGATGAAGTTGATTCATTGCATTGCAGCATGATGGCCTACCCATTTAATGGGATTTGGAATGTTGATTCATTGTTTTTGAAGCATGATGGCCTACCATTGGGATGGCTTGTTTATTTATCATTGAAATGCTTATTGACATGATAACCATTGAGATAGTCATGTATCCAACAATTTTAATATCCTTACTTACTAATCACTCAACAATGAAGCTCTGGCACGGGAGACCAAATCTCAAGTTGAATGCGTTGGGGCATTTATGAAACAACTTGAAGATCGGCATATAGATATCATTTTGAGGTCTCCTTTCCAGCGAATCGAGCAAGGAAATTATGAGGCTTTACCACTTAAAGAGAGTACTACGACATGGAATAAGTCTATCTAGCTACATGATAATCACATGTTGATCCTTCCACATTCATATTGTTAGGCAAAAGTTTTTTCTTTACATAGTGGTATGAACATTGATATTGTACAGTCCCTCCCAAGTTTGTCATGAGTGCAGTCGCCAGTCGGGCATCTCCAATCACATATTGACGTGAACAATGCGCACCTTTCACCTCAATAGTTGATATGAACTAACGCATAAGTAATATGGACAATAGCTCGAGTTGGTGAGTACATGATACAAAATTGACAATAACTTGACCTGAGACCTTCAAAATTTTCCTTCTATTAAATAAAGGCTTTTTTTTTTACAAAAAGATAATCATATACTGATTGAGAAAAGATCATTACACCCTGGAGTTTAACCAGGCACGAAAATCAAAAAAGCGACACGCAGTCGGGTACAAAGACAGGGCCTTTCTAGCCACCAAATGGGCTACCCTATCACTACTCCTACCTACAAATCGCACGAGGAAACCACCCTGATCGTTGACCAGACGAACCACATCTTCAAGGACAGTCCCAATGCGGCTATCTCTGGCATCCGCCTGGTTAATTTTATCATTTGCATCCCCTTCAAATCTTGTCTCCGTGAAACCTAACTCCAAGCACCACAAAATTGCTTCCCAAAGGACCAGCAGTTCTACACTTAGAGGATCATCCGTGTCGGGGAATTGAACACCCTAACATTAGGATTCCCCCCCTCAAGATCTTGCACAAAAATACCCCCCGTCGAATGGGACCCTTCCCTGGTCGCTCCATCCCACATACACACCACTGAACCATGGGCCCCACTATCCGGCTGATCAGCAGGCGCAACTCCATACTGGACGACACGATCAACAGGCAGACGAGACCACTCCTGGTATTGTTGCTGAAACTGTCGCATTAACGCAGGGATCCCAAATTGTCTGCCTTCAAAGACAACACAGTTTCGTGATTTCCAAATTCGCCAGAGGATCGCTACAACAACCATGAAAACAGGAGTCGTATGTATGAGCCCCATAAAAGGCTGAAAATACAACAGTTCTACAAAATTTGAGCCAACACCTTACACTTGTAAATGGCAGTTCTACAAAATTTGCTGAACATGATCTCGTTCTTTATCCTCGCCACTGCCTTTTCGATCTTCGTTTGTGTCATCAACATCTGCTTCAACCACACCACCCCCATTCCAGCCAGAGAGTAGTCGACCAAATACCTACTCCTCACAAGTCACAACTCTATCTATTCTGCTGAGATGCCTCTGCGTATATGGAATCAGTCCCTCGAGCACCTCACCAATACCCTTTACCTGCAACCATAAAGACAACGGACCAAACCTGAGAATGTTAACATGCAACGAATCTCCAGACATTTAGGCATTGACTATAAGACTTCACACAGCTCCTGGCAAAAGAGCTTTTAGCAAGCCCAGCTGGGAGAAAATTGTAGCGACTAAACGACTATAAGTATTCATTTACCTCGAGGATCACCGATGGAGAAATGCTATTAAATACTTGAAACAGCACCAGTTGTGCAATATGACACATCTTTGGTTTTGCGTTCCATTCGCGGGCATATTCGAAAAGCAAACGCAACTGTTCCTGCCCGAGATCACAGAGAGCTTTCTCCATCTGGAGGCCAACATCTTTCTTCCTGTTGTAGTGAGGGATAGTAAGTAGATATATATAATACAACATCAAAAGCTCAACAAATAGGGATCCATGTATTTTGTTTCTCTTTTTACTAACCTGCAGATTTCAGAAAATAACCCAAAGAGTTTGCGAGGCCTATTGAGGTCAAAGGCTATTTGGATAGCCTTTGAGAAATCACCATCTTGTACAGCATTCTCCATTGTTTGACCTCTTAACACACGTTCCTCCTGCATGAATACGGGGAGGTCAATGTCGGTAACACAAAATGTGGAAACCACAACAGCACAAGTTATGACACTACAAAGATTGAAAGAAGGTTGCAACAAGTATGTGGCTTAAATAGCTGAAACGACACCCAGCTGGATCCGTAATTCGGTTAACCCAGAAAGAGTTATAGAAAGAAGGTTTGGAGCTTCTCTTTATGGATTTGGTGAAGCTGGTTGACACACGTACGTAAAAGTCAACTTCACAGCAAGGGAATCGTGAATTTGGAATACGCTTATATGAAAATCAATTCACCTCTTCACGGAATGCTTCCTCCTTGTCAGCAGCAGTAGAATCCAACCATAGATTGACTACAGCATCACCACCACCAGTTGCAAAACATTTCTGTCTTTTCCGCAATAGCCAAAGCCCAGACCTAAAGAAAGAGTGAAATATATGTTGTAAAAGATTCCACCCAGGACATCTTTGCTGGACAAATACAAAACTGAAGAGACCCTCAATTCAAGTGTTCTCCACCACCTTGTCCTCATGCTGATCATATGTAGCGATGCATTCGTTCGTTTTAATAGTCCATAGTTTGACCAACCCATCAGCGCCTTCAGCCAATAGGAGAATCAATTAGATACAAGATAAATGCAATGGCCTACGATGTATGACAAAAAGCACGAGGAACGAGTAAGCTTTCATTACCGCATGACACAAATTGGGTGCCACGAGTGAGAAATGATGCTCTTAATACACTTGATGTGTGACCTTCAAATGCCCTAATGCAGGATCCGTCAGCTATGCTCCATATCTTTACTGTTGCATCACCCGATCCCGTTATGACGCATGGATCAACGGGTGAAAACTCGACAGACCAAACTCCTCGTTTGTGGTCTCTAAGTACAACCACCGCCACCAGATCTGGTAGCCTCCATACACAAGCAGTACGGTCCTGCAGGGCCACAAAAAAGGAGAAAATGGGAATAATTAGAAACAAGAACTTAAAACTGCAGGAGGAACAAATGGTCGACATGCACTAACCTGTGATCCGGTACACACTAAACCATCATTTGGTGCAACTGCCAGAGAATTTATATCCTTGTCATGGGCAGCCCAGCTACCACTGCTTTCGCTTTCAAGCCAGTAGGTTGGTCAACATCATAAGAGATGCCATCAAAACTCCACACTTTTATTGTACGGCACTATCAGAAGGAATGAGTTACATTAGCTCCTAGCATATAATCAACTTCGCGTGATTCATGTCACATTAAGATGAAGCACTTAGCAAGGATTAATAAACAACAAAAGGTTCAGCAAAAGGGCAATATCCCTGATACACAATATACTAGAAGATATAACCAAACAATTACAGAATGATAATCTAAATTTTTTTCTGAAATTATTAGGTCCAGTGGAAAGCACTCACCAAGAACCACTAACAAGAAAATTCTTCTCCTTTCTTGTTAAAAACACGTTTTCTAAGGAAAATGAGTTTCTATATTATCATTATTATTAGGTTTTATTAAATATGGTTAGTAGTCTTTTAGTAGAATTAGGTTTTCTTATCTTTCGTTATAAATATGTACTTTGCGTTTTATTCATAATCAAGCAAGATCAATTATTCAAAACAGTATCTCAAACCCTAATCTCTCTCAATTTCGTCATCTATCCCTAGGCCGACGGCCATTCTTCTCCTCGATCCCAAATTTCCTCTTCTAAATCCCTAATTCCCAATTCTGTTTTTCCCCAATTCTATCTCAATCCCTAAATATCTATCAATTCCCAATCTTATCACTCAAACGTTAGAACCCTAGAAATAGGTTTCCTACATCTGGTATCAGAGCCCAGTTCGAGAATTGAGTTCACCACAACTCTCAACCGGGGACGATTTCTACAACTGGTTCGACGATGAGCTCTTCAAAGCTCTCGAACCTGTCGTGGGCAGAATTGCGGGACAGAGCCCGTCGCATCGGCCGCCGTTGGCTGCCCGAAGAGCCGGCGGTCGAGCTGTCTGGCGCCAGGCGAGATAAAGATGTGGAGACGACGGGAGAGGCCAAGGCCACGGTAGAGGAGGTCGTGGAGCAAGGTGCGGCAGCCACGGAGGCTGGGGGAGATCACACCACGACACCGTCGATCACACCGGGCCTGCCAGAGGTAACGACTGACGAAGGCGCATCGGCCGCGGAGGGAGCTGGCGTCGACGACGCATCTGTACCGCTGCAGCCGCTGGAGCGGACCGAGAATGGATGGCAGGAGGAGGAGCAACGAAGGCCACCGCCTTGTCGGTGGCTGGCACGAGGAATGACGGTCGCGCGAGAAGCGCCGCGATCAGTGGCCGTTTCGATCAAGACGCTGATCGGGACTGAAGGGAGACAGAGGTATTTGGCGCCGAAGGCGAGTTCTGGTGGCCGGGTGCGCCACTCGCCGGCGGAAAAGGAAGGAAAGAAAGGTTGGCCGCCATGGAAGAGGGAAGAAGGCGGCGACACCATTTTCCTTCTCGTGAAACCTAGCGTGGTCAGCGAAGAAGAACAAGGCCAAGCCTTGTTGGGCCTATTAGGTCGGGCTAAGGAGTCTTACGGGCCGACTCGCGTTGGCCTCAATCACAAGCTGGCAAGTAAGAGAGAAATTCATGGGTCTGTTTCGGGTTATGTGCATAAGCAGAAGGGGTCCATTCTTGGACAATATATGAGCATCTTAACCCAGGTTATTCTCTATGGTTCCGGGGCGAGATCGACAAGCCCATTTGCTGAGGAAAACCGCGGGCTGGCATTGGAGAAATTCGTTGAGCCTGGACTTGGACCCAGGTTGCACAAGAAAACAATCAACTATATTCAAGAGAAAAGGAGGCTGAGGTATGCGCCTATTGGGCTGACCGAGAGCAGCTTGAGAAGCTTCCTCTTGTGTTGGGTTGGGCCGAAATCTAAGGGCCCAATGGTTGAGGAAGAGGACAGTGGGCTCATTGGGTTAGGCGGGTTTTCAAGGAAGCTTAATCCACACCCACTTGTTTTCACCACCCTGCTTATGGTGGATTCGATGGAGTTGTTATTTGAAGATTTCAGGGTGGCGGAGGAGCATAATGAAGAACAATTTCCCAATTCTTATTTTGTGAATTTCGAAGAGGGCGAATTGTTCGGCTATGATGAAGGTGACATATGTCACGTGGGTGAAGGAGATTCGAGGATAGTTGGAGTTGCGCGAGAAGAGTTCATTCATGAAATTGAGCACAACTGGAAACGAAGAAAGCGGAAGGTCAAGAAGAAGTGGGTTGAGTCGATCAACCTTGAGGGCAAGGTTGGTCTCAAGGGGGATGGGATGTTAGAAACACGTTTTCTAAGGAAAATGAGTTTCTATATTATCATTATTATTAGGTTTTATTAAATATGGTTAGTAGTCTTTTAGTAGAATTAGGTTTAGTATTAGGTTTTCTTATCTTTCGTTATAAATATGTACTTTGCGTTTTATTCATAATCAAGCAAGATCAATTATTCAGAACAGTATCTCAAACCCTAATCTCTCTCAATTTCGTCATCTATCCCTAGGCCGACGGCCATTCTTCTCCTCGATCCCAAATTTCCTCTTCTAAATCCCTAATTCCCAATTCTGTTTTTCCCCAATTCTATCTCAATCCCTAAATATCTATCAATTCCCAATCTTATCACTCAAACGTTAGAACCCTAGAAATAGGTTTCCTACATCTGGTATCAGAGCCCGGTTTCGAGAATTGAGTTTTTCACAACTCTCAACCGGGGACGAGTTCTACAACTGGTTCGACGATGAGCTCTTCAAGGCTCTCGGACATGTCGTGGGCAGAGCTGCGTGAACGGGCTCGGCGCATCGACCGTCGTTGGAGCTCTGAGAAGCTGCCGACCGGGGATGCTTCCACAGGAGAAGAGCAACCGCCGGTCGTGCAGGTTGACTCACACGGTGACATTGAGAGGCGAGCAGAGCAACCGTACGTGGAGGAGGTTTTGGCAATCGAGCCGCCAGCCACGGAAGAGCTTCCAAACGTCACCAACAAACAGCAGCAGCTACCGACAACATTAGTCACCATGACTGCGACTTCATCATCAACATCACTTGTAGCGATTGAACAACCATCCAAGGCTGCCGAGGCTATTGTCGCGATCGTGAGTGAAGAAGAAGGTGAGAGGACCAAAGCCTCTAAGGAAGAAACCCGAACCGAGGGGTCGGAGAGGAGGTCAGCCACGGCCCGAGTGGCGAACTGGCGGTACAAGAAGAAGGAGAGGGAGTCGCCACTGGTCGAGAAGAAGAAGGAATCGTCGGAGGCGCGAACAACGGGGACGGCGATGGCGAAGAAGATGGATGTTGAAGCTTCGAGATTGCCCTCCGCATCCCGGGTGGGTCACTCGACGTTGGAGAACAAGACGGGGAAGAGAATGCCAGTACTCGAGCCACAGTCAGAAAAGAATAAGTTACCAAGAGAGGAGAGCTGCATCGAGGGTTAATTGCACCATGTGCCACTTAAGTTTGCTATTTGTTGCATGCTAACCACCTAAGTGCATTTTGTTGCAACTAAACCATTTATGTTAACTTCCGGTTGCATAGTTACCATTTCCGTCCCCAAAACTAACGGTAGGTGTTGAAATGTAATTTTTCATGCCACGCGGGCTGCCACATCAGCAGCTATAGATTGAGTCACCTGGGCCACCACAATCTTTATGTGCCCACAAAACCCAAAGAATTCATACGTAGTGGTTAACACCTTCTCCACAGAACAAAACTTCTACACAGAACAGCACCGGCAGCCGAACCATCAAGCACCATTCCCTTCACGAAATAGGAAAATCACCACGGGGAATACTTGGCCAGACGCACGAAGAAGGAAGATAGATCGACATACGCTGCAAAAAACGTATGGTAAGTGATTTAGATCCTTGCTGCAGTACTCTGTTTCTTCCTCTAATTCAGTCCCCTGCAATAGGATTAATCGTTCTTCCATGAATTCTTTGCTTGTTATTTCCGGTTATTTGAAACGAATTACGAAACTTGCTTGTTCATGGATTGATGGAGAAATAGGTGAGTGAATTCTCCTTTCTTTGAGTGATCATCAGTTTCTCATGTATGTTATTGTTCTTCCCTGATCATCAGTTCTTCTTATCGCTGTTCGATGATCAATGGGTGAAATATGCACGCTTTATTACTTCAGGCACATGTATTGTTATTGTTTGAGTTTAAAATTGCGTCCAAGAATTAGGGAAGTAGGGGAAACTGTCCGAGTGAAATTTTCATGATTTTTCTGTTGCAGGTACGGGTGGGCAAGTGGTGCAACCGCATCACACCGCACCACATCAACACAAACCGCACTTGCAGGAACATCAAACCTTCTTTGCACAAGAAGAGAGGAGGCCAAACATGCCTTCTGCAGCATTGGGACTAGAATAATTTTCTTGACTACCAGTTCATTTTGTTAGGCACTTGAAAGAACACCTTCATGTGCTTAAGCAACAGAAAATGACCTGCATTTGTTTTAGTTTTTAGCAGGATAGAACACCAGTTCAATTTGTTAAGGATCTGCATTTTCTGAGATTTTGAGCAGGCCAGAACAGCAGTTCAATTTGTTAAGAACCTGCATTTTTGTAGATTGTTAGCAGGTCAGAACACCATGGTTGTCAGTGAGATTGAAGGAGGGATTAGGCGTTTGATGGAGCAGGGTAGCTTTTATATCTGAACTGATTATGATGTACCAGAAAAATGCTTTGTGGCCCTTTTATATATGAACTTATCAAGTTGCTTTTATATCTGAACTGATATGCTCAAAGCATAGATAACTCAATCACCAGACCACTGGCGCCTAAAGAAGAGTTAGAGGAATAATTATTATAATGCATTGTAAAGGTTAATATAATTATAATGCATTGTAAATGTGCTGTAGGAATCATTAATATGATGGAGCAAAGTGTCGCAAGCTTTACTGGATTGAAAAGCTAGAACTGGATGATTCTGTGGAGAAAAAATGTGGCCCGTCATAATGGATTGATGACCTGAATTAGTACATCATTAATATGTTTATATTTAAGCTGAATTATGACTTGAATTAGTCTCTTGCTTCTTCTGTTCAATTACAACGAAAGCAAAGACAGCAGCAACAACAGTTAAAAAGTCACAAGATTTTAGGCTTCATTGAACACAAGAGGAGGATTTTCGGCGCTAGAGAAGAGAAGAAAATTGGAGAAAAGAGGAAGATTTCCGGCGCGGGAGAAGAGAAGATTGGAGTTAGGAAGATTTTCGGCTGGTTTGTGAATAGAGCTGGTTTGCGAATATGGAAGGTTTTCTGGAGGGAAGAATTGGGGAAAGTAAAGAGTAAAATTGGTCAATTTATTGGATGGTGGTCCACAGGTGACTCACCCTACAGTCGCTGATGTGGCAACCCGCGTGGCATGGAAAATTGCATTTTGACACCTACCGTTAGTTTGAAGGACGGAAATGGTAACTGTGCAACCAGAAGTTAACATAAATGGTTTAGTTGCAACAAAATGCACTTAGATGATTAACGTGCAACAGATAATAAACTTAAGTGGCACATGATGCAATTAACCCGCTGCATCGACATCATTCGGCGATGCAAAGCAGAGCAGGCTTATCGGGAATTCTCGCCGGGGAATGAGACCCAGAAGAAGACGCCGCCGTTGGAGGACGTGACAGAGCAGATGGAAACGGGCAGGCCTCGGGGTCAGCGATCAGAGAAGAGGTGCGAGACAAAGACGGCGATCGGCGAGGAGGCGACCTCGAAGACGAGGTCGGGGGCGGGCTTTCTTCCATGCCACCGGATGATTGAGACGCTATCGGCGAAGCAGGAGAAGGGTAGGTCGTCGGCGGGGAGGGAGACGCCTGTGAAGGAGGTGAAAGGTTCGCCGAGGAAGAAGAAGACAGGGTGGCTGACGGAGGAGATGAATTTCCGACGGAGCCACGTTTTGAGAAGCAAGAGCCCCTCGTGGCGCCGCCGCCGCCGAGGAGAGGAGCAATGGTAGAGACGGGATGCGAGCTCGGCGAGACGGGGCTGTGGACGAGGATGGTCGGATCGAGTTCTTCTCTTGATCGTTGGGAGATCTGCTTGTCGTGGGAGGAGCGGCTGACGGCGGAAGCGGAAAATAAGGAGGGCAGCGGCGGGGCATTTTCCTCATACGACACACCGCCCCTCTTTCCCTTCCCAGAAGTGAAACCCTACAATTCCTGTGGGCCAAAGCCTAGGTCCAATTGGGTTTTCCATGGGTCTGGATGTATTTTGTGTGGGCCAAATCAAGTGGGCACTATGATGACAACATACAATCTCAGCCATGGTTTTAAGTTGGATCACGAGAAGAAGAGTGGTGGTCTTGTTCCGGGCCGAGAAAACCAACAGAATGGGCTGAAGGCTGACAAGAGTAGTGAGCCGAAGGGTGGAGAAAGATGGACTACCCTGGGACTCAGTGCGCGTGCGGGGCCGATCAAGAGGATGACCAAAGGGCTGTTAGAGGGAAATGGGCCACGTTCCAAGGGCGGGCTTAGGCTTCGGAGTAACTGGCTATTGGAGGCTAATTTGAATGGTGTGGGCTCAATTACTAGGGAAGACAATTTTCTTGGTTTTGCAGATATACTTATTAGAGAGCATTGTCCAAATGCAAGTACAGAAGCAACAAAACTAGTTAATGGGCTAGCTATTGGAAAGAAGTTCAAAGGTCTTGACCAGTTGGTACTTAGGGATGAGTTCTTAAACAAGAACGAATTCTTGGGTTCCTTGAGTTGGTGGAGGGCGACGATCGCGCAAGAGGATTTATTGAAGTTAGAATATTTCAAGGATGCAAGGGTTGGGCCATCAGAATTGAAGATCGCAACTTTGTTGCGACACCAGGAGGTCGAAGAAAGAAGGCCAAGTCGGCGAGTGGAGCATGATTGGAAGAAACGAAAGCGCAAGAAATGGAGGAGTCAGTATGTAGATTGCGCGGGAAGGAGGAAAGAGTGGGTCAAGTCGGTCAACCTTGAGGGCAAGGTTGGTCTGAAGGGGAAGGAGATGTTAGAAACCGATTTATATCGGGTTTCTATATTTATTATTATAATTACTAATAGGGTAATTCTTATTATGGTTAGTAGTCTTCTGGTAGAATTAGGTTTATTGTTAGGGTTTTCTAGTATTTCCCTATATATATGTACTTTGGGTCATTCGTCATATTAAGCAGAAATTAATAGAAAAGTCATCCTTCCCCAAAACCCTAATCTCTTTCTCTCTCAAATCTCGGCTACCCTCCTCTCTAGAGGCCTCGGCCGTTCTTTCGGTTCTTCCCCAATTCTGTTCCTAATCCCTAATTCTGTTCTAAATCCCTAAATCTCTACCAATTCTCAATTTCCCAACACAATTGTTAGAATCCTAGAATTAGGTTTCTAACATTTCTCGAAAATGCAACAGCACCAATTCCTCCCATGTGACCCTTGCCAATAGCAACACATTTCTGGGTTTCTGAATCCCACAACCTAACCTGAATATTTGTTAGAGCGTATCCAGTTAAGGAACTATGCAAGGCAGTAGCCCTTGCTTCCCGTTGCAATAAGTGCCCTCCCACAACCTAAAATGCAAGTATCAAGACATAAAATAATGTCTGAATGACCTGACAAAACATAGGAGCATTACTTGGATGCCAAGTCGTATACTCGAACGTGTACTGTTTACATCAAAACAGGTATTAGTCATCACAGACCCGGTAACTAAAATGTTCTAATAACCACAGGTAGTAAATCATACAGATTTTCTTTGAGACAAGCAGAAGAACAAATAAATCTTTTAAAACTTTTACTGATCTAGTTTCTCAAAGCAAAAGGCAATCCATACAGGGTGTTGGCAATCTTAATTCGTCATTTTCTTTTCAACTTATGTTTTACACGACTAACACTAGGTCTGAATTGCATGTAGCATCTGTCAGCCGGCTTCTTCAAACATCAACCCCATAGGACTAGAAAAGCTTACCTGTTCAAGATTTGTAGCAACAGCAAGAAAGTTTTCATCCTCGCCCAAAAATTTCATGTCCAGTATTTCCTCGTTGTCTCGAACCAGCCTCCTGGTTAGTACTAACTGTCCTTCAACAATCGAAGAGTAGAATAGAAACTGTTGATCAGCAGTCACAGAAACCAGTCCTCCATCACAGGGAAGAGTTATAGCACCACTGAAGCCTCTTTTTGACTCATCATCACTTTTAGAGGTGACTGTGACATCTGAGGACTTCTGCTCATACAAACAGAGGGGGAGGAGGAGGATTGATTAACAATAGAAACAGAGGAAACCAAAGATACATGAACGAAAATAAAACCTAATAAATGACAGTCAACCATCTTTCTTATGAATTCAAGGTAAATAAATACAAGCTGAATTCATTGTAGTCGACCAGGTTCCTTCCTTTCAGTTTCTTATTTCGTTAGCATCCTTTCGATTCTAATTAGAATTATTTCTCAAAGAAGCATTTCCTTAAACAGGGTAGCCAGTACTCTCAAGAAATAGTCTTTCCAAAGCAACCGGTTGAGTAAGGACATTTGACTACTAACAGAGGCTATTCTTCAGTAGAATACTTATGAACCACAGAACATAAAGACACCTGAGTAAGGACATTTGACTACTAACCAAGGCTATTCTTCAGCTCCTGCAGTTGCTAGCAACCCACCAGAAGCATGGCACGCCATGGCCATAACTGGACCATCATGGCCCTGCACAGACAAAAAAAAAAAAAACCACCATCAATCCAATTCTCCCTTAATTACAATGAATTGATACTCGGGAAAGAGGAAAATCTGCATTACCTTCCAGGAGCGCTCACATTTCAGAGTGGACAAGTTCCAGACCCTAATTTGCCTGCTGTGGCCGGCAGAGAAAAGCAGCTGGTCATTGGGACTAAGCGTGAGCGCCGTAACAGCCTCGTTGTTGCCCTCGATTGTACCCTTTATTGAGAAATCAGCAGAATCAACAGTGTTGATGGTTTCGCCACAAGCACAGGCGATGAAAGAGCCATCAGAGGAGAAAACGAACGGGCCACCTGGGTAGACCGGCTGCAGCGCCTGCACGCAGCGGTAGTTCTTCTTCGGTTGCAGAAGAGCTGACATCGAATCTACTTTCTTGCCCACAGCTATTTGGGGAACAAGGAAACGGTGAACTTGTTTACCAGGTTAACTGTGAGCAGCACCGGCGGGATGGGCAGAGAGAGAAGCAACGGGTTGGTTAGGGTTGGTTAGGAACCAATCGACCCATGAGCCTCGGTTCAAGTAAAAATAATTGGATAAATATGAGATTATTATAGGACCTTATGAGATATTCTTAATTAAAAAATTCTGTTTAAATTTTAAATTAATTGAATTTGAAGTATGATATTATACAATAAACTCTTTATACGAAAGAATCATGTTTAATTCCCTAAATACTATATACTCAGATTAATTTATCTAGAAACAACAATTTTGATTCATCTTTCAACTTACTAGAATATCTCATTATGTGTTAGGGTATGGAATTATGACCTAAAATCCGATATATTCAATATCATGCATTCGAGGCAATTCACCTTAGATTATACATAACAAAATTAAGGCTAAATTGCAAGTTTGGTCACTAGAATTACTTAAAAATTTCACGTTTGCCACTAAAATTAATTTATTCCATCCGTAGTCACTTAAATTAGGTTAACAGTTCAAGTTTGGTCACTGGCCGTTAGTCTCCGTTAACTTTTGCTGATGTGGCGGTCAACTCTTATAGTTGACCGTTAAAAGAGTGACGTGGCAATTAAAAAATTAATAAAATAATTTAATTTAATTATTTTTATTTTCCACCTAATTATTATAAACATTAAAAAAATCCCAATTCCTTTAATTATTATTTTTCCACCGCCCGTCTCCGTTCCTCTTCCCTCCGGTTGACGACCTCTTCCGGTCGGCCAAGCTCCGCGCCATCACAATCTTGGCGAGATTGGTGCTCCAAGACCAACAACTAAGCTTCAAGTTCTCGAGATTGGGGCTCAGAATCTTGAGCTCCTTGACGCGAGATAGCCTGAAAAAACAGAGTGACTGAAGCGATGGGCAGCAAGAGATCAAGTCATTGAGAACTGCATCCGTCATTGTGCAAGCACCGTCGATACATAGCGATTTCAGGTTAGAAGGCGGAGGAGATACGTTAAGGTCGTTTTTAATTGATTCGTCCAATGTCAGGGTTTTCAGAGAGTGAGCCCCTGTGATATGAATCAATTGGGTGAAGGGCAGCTCCGGACAGTGATGGATTTCAGGTTGGGATGGTTACAAACTTCAAGCATGCCGGTTTCTTCTGATCGCCTGTTCAAGTAATCCATGGAGCCTAGAGTCAATTCTTCAAAGAGAGGGGCGTCGGTGATGATGCCGTTGAGAAATCGGCCGCCATCGACGGCGAAGTGGGTCAAAGAGAGCACCCTCAGATTGACCATTGGATCGAGACAAGGAGATTCCATGAAACTAAAGTCGTGGAGTTTGAGAATCTTTAGATTGGTTAATTGATGAGGGAGGAGGACCGATTGATGCCCATATTTGAATTTAATGACCATCTCTACTAGGCGCTAGCCACGGCGGGGAGCGGATCATGTTCAAGACGGTGATGGTGTGGGGCTTGGCCGGCCGGAAAAGGTCGTCGACCGGAGGGAAGAGGAACGGGGACGTGCGATGGAAAATAATAATAAAAGTTATTAGGATTTTTTTTTAATTTTTATAATAATTAGGTGGAAAATAAAAAATAATTAAATTAAATTATTTTATTAATTTTTAATTGCCACGTCACTCTTTTAACGGTCAACTATAAGAGTTGACCGCCACATCAGCAAAAGTTAACGGAGACTAACGGCCAGTGACCAAACTTGAACTGTTAACCTAATTTAAGTGACTACGGATGGAATAAATTAATTTTAGTGGCAAACGTGAAATTTTTAAGTAATTCTAGTGACCAAACTTGCAATTTAGCCCAAAATTAAGCAACCATGTTGTTAACGATGGTTCCATTTCCTTTTCCAAATTGCTTCCGACAACTTACAATCTGATTATTTTGATACATGGTAATAATCTGACTGAAGAACATTCAACATTGGGTTGTCAGAATTTGATTGGGGTGTCTAAGAAGAAGAGGGCTTCATTTCAGTTTTGATAGCAGCAACCAGTTGGTCATAAGCTTCTCCCCAAGCTCCTTTCATTTCTGGTGACCACATTTCTCCCACCGCTTCTTTTATGGTCTCCAATAGGGCAAACTTCGTCACCTATACACATTTGCGCACATTCAAATTACGTTATAGGTATTGTGATAAATTATATTGACTATTGATATACATTGTTTAATCGATATCATCCATCCATCGACATAGTTTAATATCACGATGGATAATCACCTCAAAATGCTCATCAACGACGCCGTATTTGGAATGCGTGGCGCCCAATTTTTTCAAGCTGGATTCTCTAACTGTCACTTTGCCAGATTTCCTCAGCTGCACGGCTGACTCACATGTCTGTAAATTCACAAAGCCAAAGAAAATAATAGTATGCCATTACTTGATGATGATCAAGAAAGAGGATTGTATGCATTGTTTGATGATAGATACCATGAGGAAGACAGCCATGGCATGAGGCTTGAGCTTAGGGTTCTTCTCAACGGGAAGATCCGAGTCTCTCAGGAATGGGAACAACTTCTTTGCAGATGGTGCTATCTCAAATATCCTGCAACAAACATTACATCATATATCGTTGTTGTCCTGTTTCGACAATCTGACAAAGCAGCAAGATGAATCGTATACGAAATTACGTGGTTCACCAGCACAACGAGCATTCACTACAGCAATCCACATGGCCAAACATATTTTCAATAGTTAGAAGAAAAGGGTAGCTAGAGTAGGGAAAAGTATATTTACTTGAGGAAGAATTTGAGGGCAATATCAGCAGCATTCTTCTTCATCACACTCCATGACTTCACCACCAGAGCGTCTTGCTCCTCTGTGAACGAACAACTCATGGTTGCCTTGCTTCTTCTGTATTAGATGGATTGTTCTGTTTATGCTATGTAAAGCTTGTCAAGTTTTGGCTATGGAGTTTTTCCAGAGTTCCGCCATGGATTTATAAGCTTGGCTAGCTTGGCTTAGGTTGCAGGACTTATTGAATTAGCCCTTCAGGGATATGGAAAGCCATTTTGCTTCTTTTACTAGTCTCTGAATCGAAAGGCAGTTTCTCCACTAACACAATATCGTGTGCGGTTGAGGAAACCAGGGGCGGGAATTCATCAAATTGACCAAATCGGGAACCATCTTGTTGATGTCGCAGCACAAGTATATTAATTAATTAGTGAATGCATGTAGGTTAAGCAATACAAATGGGATTCGCCTACCATCATAAAATATATTTTTTTCAAAACTTATTATCTTTTGGGCAACCACAAAAATAAACTTGGTATAGCCGGGATTCGAACTTTAAATTCGCTAATTGATAGACATCTTAATTTACAATGAATCAAAGGTAGATTATAATGTGTTAAATAGGGATTATACATATTTTTGCCTTCATAATCTTATTTGTTGTTGAGTTTCTTGTACCTCAATTTAAAATCACTTGTTTATATCTATTATTATTAAGTGGAAATTCACGATATATCTCCTCTATTTTATGATGTGGATTATACCGAGTACTATTACGTACAAGACATAGTTCACTAATTTAAGTATAACTAATTTTAGATTACTTGATTGTTAACTTGTGTTATCCTTTTGGACTGTCATATTTTTAGAAACTTCTAATTTTAACTTGTTTTTTTTACCTGAAATAGTTAAACCTTATTGCACCAAAAAAGAAATAGTTGAACCTTAACCTATAATCTTGGCCGCTAAAGAAATGACAGTACAGAATCCTACGGCTGCCAAGATCCCACGTCAACACTAATAATAACCTCGTCAGTGAACGGTAGAAAATAGGTCAAAATCAAACTTATCCAGAAAACCGACGGCGCTCCGTCGCCGTCCTCCGACGAATTCCGGTTCTGCTTTCCTTCCGATTTATATACCTCTCCATTCCCTCCACTCGACGAGAACCAATTCTCTGAATAGCTCTCCTCCTTCCTCGCGCGGAATCTTTTTTCCCTCACCGGAAAAAAGAAACACCGGGAAGGAAAAACCAAAAACAAAAAAACACCCAAACAAAGTATAAAAAATGCTTCTCCGGAGCTCCTCTACGCCGGCCCTGAAGAACCTGGTGGGTCAATGCTCCGTGGTGCCGGAAATCGACGCCGCCAGTACGCCCTCCCACGTCAGCCCTAAATACTCCCCGCTCCGCCAGGTCCCGCCCGCGCTTTCCTTGAAGCGGACCTCATCGGAGGGAGATCTGAAATTGTTTTCCTCCAAGAAGGGGAAATCCAAGAAGCAGGTCAAGGATGGAACGAGCCCTCTCCACTACTCGCAGCTCCGACCTCCGCCGTCCTCGGCCGCAATCACGGCCGTGCCGGCTTCGTCTAGGACGGCGCCGCTGCAGAGGACCTCCTCGGAAGGGGATCTGAAATTGAGGGGGATTTCGTCGTTAGAGGAGGCGTCGAGAAGCGTCGTCGCGGCGTTGGAGTCGGCGGGAGGACCCGGCGGCCGTGGCGAGGGAGGGTTTTCCGGCGGCCGAGGAGGAGACGGCGAGGACGGGATCTGGGGTGAGCTGCCGCCGCAGGGGACGGAATCGATGGACAAGTATTACAGGGATATGATCACAATGTACCCAGGCGACGCCCTTCTGCTGTCCAATTACGCCAAGTTCTTGAAGGAGGCCCGCGGCGACGCCGCGAGGGCGGAGGAGTTCTGCGAGCGAGCCATCCTGGTGAGCGGCGGCGACGGCGGCGTCCTGTCCATGTACGGAGATCTCATCTGGAACAACCACAGGGACGGCGGCCGTGCTAACACCTACTTCAATCAGGCTGTCAAGTCTTCCCCCGACGACTGGTATGAATCCTTTTTTTTTCCGATCAATCAATTTTCAGATCCTTGATCCAAAACAAATCCCAAATTATAAATTTGCTTACCTTATTGGGTTCCTTATGGTGGGTTAATGATCAATGACAGCCATGTGATAGCATCGTATGCTCGATTCCTGTGGGATGTAGCAGAAGAGGGAGAAGAAGAGGAGGAGGAGGAGGAAGACGAAGAGGTGGAAGAAGAACAAGCCCAACAATTCCAGCCGCGTAGGATGCCGCAAGCCCACCAGCCGGCCCATAGGTTCTCTATTGGGTTTGGAACTCAATTGGGCTTCCCTCCACTAACAGCTTCTACCACCTGAAGAAAAGAAGAAAATCAGAAACAAGGGAAAGATATTGAGGGACTACTTGCCCCAATTTCCCTTGATTTCCCTCCTTCTAATATGAAGTACAATTATATGAACAGAGGTTAATTACATGTTGTTAACAATTGGCCGTTTTAGAGGTTGGCCAGTGGGATTAATTGGTGTTCTTTTTGTTTTAATTACAATTCGTGTAATGGAGTACTTGATATATAATATATCCTCCCCTGTCGCCGCGTTTGTGCAAGGCATACTGCATTTTGTAACAAGCTAACGGAATGATAATATATATGGTGTAATATCGTCGTTGAAATAAGATACATACTCAATCGACATCGTGCCTCTGTGAACGTGTAATACTGCCAACACGAAACGATACTGAATTGAGTTTCCAAGCATCGTTGATTGATCATACCAAGTGGGGAAGACAGGTTGTCACAATACAAGCAAAATGGGAACAGAGAGGAAGACATGTCCAAAGAACAAATAAGAGAACATAATACAGCGTCCCAAGTATCCCAACAGAATTCCAAACATATGACCAAATATAAGTAACTTCTGGCAGCCTAAGGATCCCCAAAACATTTTCAAAAATATTCAGTAAGCAATCCTGTTCTTCTCCTCCTCCCCTTCCCTCTTCTTTACGCATTGCTTGGCGAGATAAATTAGGATAAAAGAACTATGCAAGAAGAAAGAAAAACAAAGAACATCAACATCATCAAGTTCAGTGCAGAATCCTTACGAGATAGAACACCAGCAACCTTGAAAGCAAAAGCCACACAACAATAAGGTAACCAACCGCTGTGCTATGGACATAAGACAGACGTCTCACAATCTCGCCGAAAGCAGAGATCTTCACTTGAGCTTCACTGTCTTCCCTGAGATCCATTCATTCGTTCGTTCGTTTATTTACCCACATTGGCTCCCATGTCGATAACCTGAGATTCCCATTTCCCAACTCACTGTTTTTTTCTCAGTCCTCTGAGACACAGACTTGAGCTTGTTGTTCTCCTCCAGCTACCATCATATTTTGCTCTTCTTCTGGCTCGATTTCACTAAGCTTAGCTCTCGGCGGACCGGTGACTTCATTCACTTGCTGCTTATCTGATGAGATTGTGATTTTTGGTTCGTCGTCTGTTACTTTGGCAACGACTCCAGTTTTCCCGTTGTTTTTTGTCAATTTGGTCTTCTGAGACGGTAGTCTGGGAAGTGACTTGCGGGCTGGCTTCTTTGTAATGGCAGGAGCCACTTCCTTTGGGGTAGGAACATTCTGAGAGGCTTTAGCATCCAAACTTAGACGACCTAAAGCTAATCCATTTGCCTCAGTGTTATTTCCTTCAGCATCTGCTGGTGATGAGCTCTTCCTTCTACCTAATTTTGGGGATTTAGGCCTTGTTGTGGGTATCTGGATAAAAAAACAGGACAAACGGTGAAGACCTCTTTCCATGGTTATATGGGATGCTAAATAAAAGGATTATATCCTTGGTGGGAGAGGCTCGCTACAGGGGAAGATTAACAACACTTGTGCACGCAATTTGAGAGATGCAGCTCGCTACTGGCAATCGAAATGATAAGGCAGTGAGAAATGAAAGCATAGATTACCTTCTTCAACTCGGTCCTTGTTGGGGGAGGCTCCTGATAGAAGGTAGGCATTGGTGTTGCCTTAAAGTTCAAACTCTTCCTCAGCTGCCTAAGCTCGGCTTCTTGGCTTTCCTATGAAAATTTAAGAAAAGTTTCAATGTTCAGGTATAGATAATTAAGTATCAATACAGTGAATCAAAATCAGAAGTCATTGCAATACAACCTTAGACTTGGCTTGAATGTTATTTTTTTCTTCTTCCTTTGCATGGATCTTTTCCTCAAGTTTGGTATAGAACTGCCCAGCGCAGATAGAAAGAAACAACCATCATGCTGACATATAGTTTGCAACAGGCGAAATTTATGAATTTATCATCACAAAGTTTAAGCACAACACTGACCTCCCTCCTTTTCTCCGCTCGTTCGTCACACTTGAAGCTAAAGCCATAATTTGGTAGTGCCCCTGCCTTACGAGGTTTACCATCACTTTCAGTGGGGCTTCTGTCATCTTTTAAGGATTAACCCGTGCAAAAGAGAGAGAAACTTTTGGCAATTTATTCAGAAATGGGCCAACAAAGCATGTAGAGACAGAATGTTCGCAACAGTAAGGATACGAAGAAGATTGCCCATCTCCATCAGCTTCAGCAATAGGTGCTTTCTTCAAGGGTTTCAATGTTGTCTTTTTTCTGTATGGAATACCAGAGTCAAAGTAGCAAAACATGTAAATATAAAAATAAGCTCCTTATGATGGGAGCAGTTAAAGAAAATTAATATTTCCAAGTTCAAGCTAGAAAAGACTTCCAAATTTTTGCACCAACTATCTGAACGACTTTCATATTCACGTCATTTATAAAATATGTCATCAAAAGGACAAATTTTCAGAGGAAGCCAAACATACATGAGGGATTCAGATGTTGCTGCTTCCGACTTTCCGGATTGCTGCTAGCAAGCAAAGACGAAGTAAACATAAGCATCCTGAGAAGTGCCAACCATATATTCTTACAAGTAAGAAGGTGAACAATATACCTTTACCGCCGGGACCTGCTTCTCGCTGAAAGACTTAGTCTTAGAAGGCAATTTTGCCCGTGAATTCTGAGCCGCAGTCCCTTTGGCAACTGTAGGGGGTGCCACACCTTTGAAATCCTTGCCCTTGGGCAGCTGAGTCGCTGATGCTTTTCTGGCATTCGAAAGCTTCTCATTCTTGCTCTTTCCTGGAACCTGCACCAATCGAGTTTTCTCTGAATGATCTGCATCTTTCACTCCCTCTCCTTCCTGAAAAAATAGAGATAAACAGCATTATGATAGAGGCTTGAGAAATCTACTCGTGAAGAAATATTCAAGAGAGAAAAGAACCAACCATAGCAACAGCCAAGTCATGGTCATCAGCAACCACATTCGGCTCTTCAATGGTCTCGACACTGTGATCCAACATAGTTCCATTCATGTTGTTTGAGAAAACATCATCCTCTCCAGAGACAGCATTGTGATCATGGCCACCATTTTGATGGGTCATCTCAAAATCATCATTGAGCAGGACTCCGTCCATATCCATTACACTCTGCAAGGACCAGATTTTGAAAATCATACACAGGACTGGAGCTTGCGCAAAGCTAGCAAAAGACAGAAACTGCATGGGCAAATAGATGTATATATCCACTACAGCATGAAAAGTGAGCTTAAAGTAGTTACCCCTGAACAATGTCTCCCACAATGTGTAAATTTTTCAAGGAGTTTGCCTGAAACAACCTAAGTATTCAAACCCATAATTCTTTGTATGAAAGGAATCAATCCATAAACACAAATATTCGGCAAGATGGATTAAGCAATTGGGAATGAGCAACGTGAAGCCAACAAACAGAATAAGACAAACAATAATCCTCCAAAAGGTTGATAATTTCTTGGCAGACAGGTCCCCAAGACAAGTTTAAAGGGAGCGCCCCAAGAAACTAGAGAAACTGGTCACAATGGCAGTTCCAATTACAGCTATCTACCATAACTTGGACACTTAAAGAACAACCCTCAACTCCATCAAGTGAAATCCGCTTTCCAATAAACCAAAATTCAATCCATTAGATTCCAGAACACAAAGTCGAGTGAGGGAAAACATCCAAACATGTCGACTCACTCTGATGAACAGTAAGCTTACAGAGAAATCCGCTGAAACAGTATGTTATACTTATATCTAATCACAAACCCCAAACGCATTCTAAAGACCCAAATCCATAACTGGAATCTGATCTACTAGCCGCAAGCACGAGCGAACCCAACGAGTAATCAAATTGCAAGATTCTAACCCCACCCAGACCAAACGAATATGCTCACACCAAGACCCACTGACTATCACCTGAATCTCACTCGCATTTAACAGCAACATTACCTATAGCACTATTTCAGCAACCAAACAGGCAGGCAATCGGGAAAAGTCCAAGTCGCGGCATTCCCCAACTTACCTATAGCTCGAGCAAGCGCAGCAGCAGTCACAACTCACAAGCCCATCAGAAGGAACCGGCTAGGATTTCGGGGGAAGGAATCCGGGAGGATCTGGCTGAGAAAAACTTGAGAAGTAGCAACAGTAGTACGCCGGATCCAAAGAGGAGAACGGAGCGATCCAACTCTGCTCCAATGAGCCGCGGGTGCTACGGTGGTTCTATAATGGAATGGTGGGGGAGAGAGGGGATGTCGCAGTCGGCCGAGTTGTAGAGTGAGTGAGTGGAAGGGGGGAGGATTTGGAGATGGCGCTTCTCTTTCTTCAAAGTTGCCTGAAAATAGCGGCTTTCAAATCCATTTCCAGCTCACCTTCAGACAGAGAGAAGAAGGGAGGAGAGAGAGAGAGGGCTAGTGAGTGAGTGAGTGAGTGAGTGAGTGAGTGAGTGAGTGAGAGCGGGCGAGTTACGAGTTCTCGGTGGGTGGAGATGGAGATCGGAGCGAGGTGGGGTTGAGGGGAAATACGAATACGGTGTACGGTTACAAAGGAGATGGAATGATACGGTTATGGCAACTCGGTATTGGATATTTACTGTCGGTTAACTGGTTGAAGGAAGAAAGTAATTTAGCCACTTCATAAATGGTTAAAGAAAAAGGGCCAGACGGCCCAGGGACATTTTGGGCCAGTGAATGACGAGCCCAAACAAGAAAAAGGCCAGGCGGTGGGCTACGAGGAGAAGGGAGTTGGCAGTATGGTGGATTATTTTGACTTTTGAGTTTTGACGATTGGCGGGTATAACAAGTTTTTCTTTTAAAACGGGTGTTCACCAATCAGCACCACTACCTAGGGTGTGCAGAGAGACGGTCCAGCCCGATCCAACTCAAATCGAACTAATTTCAGGATTAAATTGTGTCTCTTTTGAACCAGTTACAAGTTAGAGATGATTAACAAATTAGAGAAAATAAAAAAGTTTTTAGTTGTCAACCCTTAGATTTAGAACTCACTTAAAATGAAGAGTCCTGATTTGATTATATAAAGTTATACACCATAGGGTTACTTATCTTATCCACAGTCGCGGTCTAGTCCAAAACAAAATGTTAGAGTACAAACCAAGGTCCAACACGACTATGGTATGGTGTGGTACTATATGGTAGAAATTAGGTAGAATACATTTAGTAAAAAATGAATCATGTATTTGGTAAACCACACCAAAGTTTGAACCCAATAATAATTTTTTCGTTGTTTTAAACTTAAATTTCAACACTCATACATAATTTTTATACGCTAAATTCAAGTAAGGGGTTACAAGTTTGGGGGACTATTAGAAATTTATTTTTATTTTTAAATATTTTTCAAATGAGGTGGAAATTTTAAGGGATTAAATAATTTATTTTTATTATTTTTCTAATTGTCATGCCACTTATTTGACGGTCAATTATGAGAGTTGACTACCACATCAGGTAAAGTTAATGGAGTTGGACGGAGAATGGCCCAAATTTTAAATATTTAACTAATTCTAGTGACCACGAATACAAATAAATATTTTAACGACTTGACGTAAAAAAAATTTAGTAACCTCAATAAACAAACTTGTAATCTACCCTCCAACTAAACAACAAACACACAAAGTAAGAGTAGCCCAACTTTCACTTTATTGTCATATGGGTACGTAGTCATCTCCACTCTCTAACAACGTCTGATTTGGGAATGAAGTAGGGGATGGGATCCACCAAATTAAGGTTCAGACTTGGATCTAGTTAGAGAATGGAGTGAGTAATTGAATGTAATGCACACACAAATTAGGAAGTGGTAAGTTGGTTCCATGATGTGATATGATAAACCGTTGTCTAGACCAAAGGAAGTGATAATATCGTTTCACAATAAACACTATGAACCATGACTAACCGTTTTTTTCGAGTCTACACCGTGCCATTTGATTTTATCAGCAAACTTTCAAATATTCCGGTCTATTCTGGCAGCGCTATTGAATAATGTGGATGGGGTAGTTGACATGATGTTGTAATTAAGAGAAAAGAACAAAACAAAAAATCATAACGACAAATTGAGCGAGGCGGCTGATAATAATAACTTTAATAATGGATACCACTTGCCAGACCATCTCTATAACATCATAAGATTCATTACAGCCCTGTTATCGATCTAACACCGATCCATTGATATCCTCATCGATGGCTCTCCTGCTCGAATACTTCTCCTCCATCCCCTTGATCACACTGATAATTACACCACTAATCATCCTGGCAGCGACATCAATAGTACTAATCCAAAACCTCAGACCAGGACGACGTCGTTTGGTGGGAAATTACCACCAGGCCCACGGAAGCTGCCGGTGATTGGAAACCTCCACCAGCTGATCTGCGAGCTACCCCACCGCCGACTGCGGGATCTGGCCCAAAAGCACGGCCCACACGTGATGGGCCTCCAGCTCGGGGAGCTGTCCTACATCGTCATCTCAAGCCCAGAGGCCGCCGGGGAAGTGATGAAAGCCCACGACCTGAATTTCGCGACACGCCCCTGGCTCCTGGTCTCCGACGTCGTATTCTACGGCGCCAAGGACATGGCATTGGCGCCGTACGGCGCCTACTGGCGGCAGATACGCAAGATCTGCGTGGTCGAGCTCCTGAGCTCCAAGAGAGTCCTCTCTCTCCGCCCCGTCAGGGAATCCGAATTAGCCTCCAAGCTCACCGCCGCCATCAGCGCGGCCGCCGCGGCGGCCGGCGGCGTGGGCGTCGACATCGGCAAGCTTGTGGGCTCGTCGACGTGCAGCTTTACTTTCAGGGCGGCGTTTGGGATGGCGGCGGAGGAGATAACGGTGAATAACAGGGAAGCGATGTTCGCGGAGCTTATTTCGGGGGTTTCGGATGCTGTGGGCGGTTTCAGAGTATCAGATCTGTTCCCTTCTCTTAAATTCCTTCCAGCGTTGACCGGGTATCGATCATGCCTTGTGAAGTTGCATCTAGCGGCTGATGGGATGCTTGAGGATATCATCAACGAACACAAATCTCGACGTCGAATTAGTGGTACCGGTAGCGATGTTGCAGCGGATCACAGCCCAAACAAGTATTCGCAGGATCTGGTGGATATTCTTCTTAATCTTCAGGAGGGTGGAGGAACTGAATTGGATTTCCCGTTGACCACGGAAGCCATCAAAGCAGTCCTTTTGGTAAAGTGTAATTTCCCCCGCTATTGTCTTCTTGTAGCTCGTTCTTATAGAATTCATTTTTTCTCATCAAATGGTTGGTTGTTAACCAGGATATGTTTTTGGCTGGATCCGAAACGAGCTCAACGACAGTACAATGGACTATGTCCGAATTGATGAGAAATCCGAGTGTGATGCAAAGAGCACAAGAAGAGGTTAGACGTATGTTTGGTTTTAAAGGAAATGTAGATGAGGAGGATCTTCCTGATCTAACTTATTTGGACGTGGTTATTCAAGAGAGTTTAAGGTTGCACCCTGCGTTTGCTTTACTTCTTCCAAGAGAAGCTCGAGAAAGGGTGGAGATTCTTGGCTATGAGATTCCTTCCGGAACTAAAGTCATCATCAATGCTTGGGCTATCGGGCGAGATTCTCGTTACTGGAAAGAATGCGATAAATTCATTCCGGAAAGGTTCCTTGATCACCCAAGTGATCAGAAAGGGAACAATTTGGAGTTTATCCCTTTTGGTTATGGAAGAAGGATGTGCCCTGCAATGTCACTAGCATTAGCTAGTGTGAAACTGATGCTAGCAAATTTATTGTATCATTTTGACTGGAAACTCCCCAGTACCGGAGTTCCTCATGAGGATCTTGATATGTCAGAGTGTTTTGGTTCCGTGGTTGCTAGAAAATATAGCTTGCACTTGATTCCAATACCATACGATGCGCGCAACTCCTTGGAAGGATGTTAAGACTGAGTGAAACTTCTTGGAAAAGACGGGGAATCATGTTCATCTTCCCTACCGAGTGGAACTTCTTGGAAAGAGATGAGGAATCATGTTCATCGTTCTTTTTTCTATCTCGGTTCTTCAATGTTTATGCTTAAGATTTTAATTTGTATTACTTGTTCCTTATTTGTTTAAACATTTTCTTCATGTGTATTGTTAATACGATTCGCTTTTGATTCGACTTACAATAAATAGGAGGAATATTGTTGTGACCTCATTTGTAACAAATAATATGTAGTACTTATATGGCCGTTAAGATATAATTATCACTATATATGACTGTAGTTCTACGGTAAGATGTATATATTTTCAAATTTCTTGAACTATTAGACTATAAGGTGGTTAAGAACTTATGACAAAAGTAGATTGTGGTTGGAATTTATTATAAAAAGTGTAAAAATATAATATTTTCATATTTTAATGATAGATTATTAAAAATATTTTTAATATAACAACGCTGTAAAATGATAAATATAGATCAAATCTAATGAACCCATGCATATTTCCCGAGGGCAGTCTAGATTCTCAAGTATATTCCAGTTATTGTGTCACCCATCCATCATGTATATCTTGAGCAATTGATGAGGCAATAATTTGGCAGAATTGGGAAGTCACATAAGAAGAGGTCCAAATTAACCTACTCAGTACGAAAAAATCTGTACACTACGTATCGTTAGTTGATCATATATATGCAACTTATTAAGTAATTGTTTGAATAGTCAGCAGTGACGCTCAAATGCAAAACAGAGTGATAAGCAAATTGCAGCGGTGTGGGTATAGTCAGAGCACTTGCTGCCTCCCATTACAACGCAAGGTTTCACGAAGTGATTCCAGAAATAGCAATTACATGAATTTCAAAATCTCGGTCTTGATTAGGAAAAATACAAATATATATATATCATCAAGAGTAGGGGATAATCTCTTCGTGCAAGACTCTTCACTTTTTCTTCTTGAAGAACAATTTTGGAGTCTTCCTCCCAAACTCCAGCCTGAGAAGCAATTTCGCGAGTCTTCCTCTCAAGGCTCAAGCTCCATAATTTTGCTTTACAATCTTCCTCCCGTCCTCGCCATGTCTTCTCGCTAAAAAGTATTCATTTCCAACTTTATCCTTGTAGAAAATAATTTATTTTTAAATCATACTCTTAATGGTCATTTCTTGAAAATCACCCACTACTTTATTACTAAACAAATTGTTCATCATCCCATTGATTATTTTTCTAATAATAAGTAAATACATCACTTCCTATACCTTTAGTTTTTTTGTACTCGTACTAAACATAGTTTCCTTCGACTTTTGAGAAAAGGTTCCTCAAATTTAAGAATTTTTTTTTTTTTTAGGAAAAGTCAAACAAAAATATAGAAAATAAATCAGTACTATGAACGGTGCTGTATTTGTTCATAGTTGAAGTTCGAGGTTGAAGTACATTGGCATGTCTTTTTTATTATTATTATTATTATTATTATTATTATTATTATTATGTTTGTTGGTGTGTCAACCACATCCATGTGTAATATAATTGGCATCAGTGATGTCTTCTTCTCATAAGTAACCACACAACTCATATATGCTCAGGCTGTGAATTTACTATTTAGTACCTTAATATGCTAAAAGGCAACATCACCAACCATAGAATGGAATCATAAATAGTTTTTACATTGAGACTCCTCAACTTGAGTTGTGCGGGGGCCAACTCAATATGCCAAATGATGTGTTTAGTGACTGGTGAAATCTGAATACTTGTTAAAAGAGAAGATTTTGGGATCACAAAAGGGTGCATTTGAATATGTGTATTTCAAATTCGTTGTTTGGTTATTCATTCGTAATTTGTTGGTATTCTAGGTTTTTAGATTTTTTTTTATTTTAAGGTTTAATTCACCTACATAGCCATAACTTTCGCGTTTTTGACAATAATAGCCACTTTTTGAAAAATACAGAAAAATAGCCATTCCGTCCAAAACTTTAACAGACCAAGTATGAATATTGACTAGACTAACAGTTTCAGCTGACGTGGCATATTTTGGTCAAAAAGTGTAAAGTGGAAAAATACATTTTTGAATTAATTAAAAATTAAATAAAAATATACTAAAATTAAGAAAGGAAAAAATAAGCATCTTCTTTCTCTCGTCCTCACCGCTTCCCTGTGACACTGGCCTCCGCCTTCCGCCTCCCGGCTCCCGCCTCCGTTATCCTCTTTCTCTCAACCACCTATTTCCAATCCATCTCCTTGGGTTCGCCACCTCTGTCGCATTATTACTCCACCAAATTCTACAACCGCCGCTCCACCGCCTCACAAACCCTAAATTCCTCTCATCCCACTACACGCAGCCGTCGACCGCTCAGTACCTACCCCCTTCTTATCCTCGAACTACCAAGAATCTGTTCAATCAAGCCTAGAGAGTGGAGAGAGTTGGAGGACATCGACCATCGGGTTTAGCTCTAATTGACCGATTCCCCTTCGCAACTCAACCACCGTCGCAGAATTCCTTCCAATCGACGCACTAATTTGGCAGGAGATGGACAGCTTGGATAGGGGTTTGTTCTCGAAGGAGTTTTTCAATGACCTCGTTTTGAGATGAGCAAAAATGGTCTCCAGATCTACCACCGTCGTTCAAAGAAAAGCTTCAACCCAATCTGCAACAGCCGCCGTTTTTTGGTTCGTTGGTCATCGGGTTTCGATTTATGGGTTTCTCGTGGCCGATTTCAGATTAGCAAAACCTCCAAGTTAGGCGTTGGTGAGTGGATCATCCGATGGGTGTGCAGGGGAGAATTGTGCGTCGATTGGAAGGAATTGTGCGACGATTGAAAGGAATTGTGCAGGGGAGAATTGCTGGAAATTTAGATGCAGGAAGGGGAATCGGTCACGAGAAACCATCGGGTTTTGCTGGAAAGTTTATCAATAGGAACTCATTTGGATGCAGGAAGGGGAAGGGTCTTGGGTCAATCGTATTTGATTTGAGTGCAGGGGAGAAGCTCTGGTGACGCCGACGGGGGACGATGAGGCCGCCGATGGGGAAGGGATGAGATGGAAGAAGAAGGAGAGCTCGAGGAGGAAAGTGAAAAAATGAAAGATAAAATTTTAATTTAATTTAAATATGATGTGGAAGCTAGGTGGCATGATTTGGTGTGTTGGAGCTTATGTGGAAGCTCATGTGTCATCCGCGTCAGTGTCATATTAACGGTGTTAAAACTTTTAACGAAAAATGGCTAATTATGTCAAACGAGTTTTCAAAATGTGGCTATATCTGTGTATTTTTCAAAAAGTGGCTATATTTGTCAAAATCGTGAAAGTTATGGCTATACAGGTGAATTAAACCTTATTTTAATTTTGAATTTTATGATCACTTACGATAAACTTTGGAAAATACATTTTGATACCCAAAATTATTTTTTTTCTTACAATTTTAGTACCTAAACGTTAAAAAAAATACTTATCGAAAAAAAAACGTTTAAAATTTTACAAAGTGGTCCTGGAATTTAAGTGGTAAAATTACATTTTGGTACCTTAATATAGTTTTCCTCTCACGATAGTACCTAAACATTTAAAATGTTACAAACAAATCCAATCTTTTGTTAGGGGAAATTTCAAATCACTAGTTGTTTGAATGTATTTGAATTTGACAAATAATACTAGATATGTATTTGGGAATCACCGCATGATTTTGACACAAATCCAAATATCAAATGCAATAATATCCAAATAAATAATTTGACATTAAAAAAATCCAAATCACAAATACCAAATACAAATCCTTCTATCCAAACACATAAATCCACTACTAACTAGGGTTATACTCGATCTCATTGTCACAAAAAAAGGCTGATGACTTTAAGAAAAGACGACAAGTGCTTCATTGACACACTAAAAAAACAGGAAAACAGTACATGGGTAGTAGGTAATGTGATCAATATTCAATTTATTAATTTGGTCTGGGAACGACACACTTTATTTATTCTTTCCCCTTCCACCATCCACCGATTTGAACTAATCCATCACTAATACACAAAAATGGCTCTACCTCTACTGCCGGAATATTCTCTCCCCTTCCTCTTCTTACTCACCGTAGCCACGGCAATCCTCGTATCAGGATTCTCCAGACGCCGCCGCTCCGCCGACAAATTATCATTACCACCAGGCCCACGGAAGCTGCCGGTGATTGGAAACCTCCACCAGCTCATCTGCAACCAGCCCCACCACCGGCTGCGGGATCTGGCCCAAAAGCACGGCCCGCACGTCATGGGCCTCCAGCTGGGCCAGCTCTCCTACATCGTCGTCTCAAGCCCAGAAGCCGCCAGGGAAGTGCTGCAAGCCCACGACCTGACCTTCGCCTCCAGGCAGTACCTCCTGGCCTCGGAGATCGTCTTCTACGGCGCCAAAAACGTCGCCCTGGCGCCGTACGGCGCCTACTGGCGTCAGATCCGGAAGATCTGCGTGGTGGAGCTGCTGAGCGCGAGGAGGGTTTCGTCTTTCCGCCACATCAGGGAATCCGAGGTCTCCAAGCTCACTGCCGCCGTCTCCTCCGCTGCCGTCGGCGTCGTTGACCTCGGGAAGCTCGTGATGGCGGCGTCGAGCGGTTTCACTTTCAGGGCGGCGTTCGGGATGGCGGCGAAGAAGGAATCGCTGTTCTCCGGGCTGATTGCTGAGATGTCCAAATCCGTGGGGACGTTCAGAGTGTCGGATCTGTTCCCGTCGATCGGGTTTCTTCCGGCGTTGACCGGGTTTAGATCTCACCTAACGAAGTTGCATCTGGGGGTTGATGGCTTGCTGCAGGAGATCATTGATGAACACAGAGCCCGGCGAAGCAATAGAGGAAGGAGCGATGCTGCTGCTGTTGAGGATTCGGAGGATTTGGTGGATATTCTTCTTAATCTTCAGGAAGATGGAAGTCATGATTTGGGGATCCCGTTGACCAACGATACCATCAAAGCTATCATTATGGTACGCCTCTTGAACTATAAAACTCACGAATTTGAAATGTTTGAGGTACCGAATTTGGCCCGATGATGATATGCTTAATGTAGGATTTGGCAAATCTATTCGTGCACTCATATTGCTACATGAATACTCGTCACATATTATTCAATTTCATCTTATATTAATTTTCCATTGGTTGATATTAGGACATGTTCTCCGGCGGCATTGAAACTACATCAATTACAGTAGAGTGGACCATATCCGAACTGATGAGGAATCCAAGTGTGATGGAGAGAGCACAAGAAGAAGTGAGAAACATGTTTGGTGGTGAAGGAAACGTTAACGAAGAAGGTCTTTCGAATCTTACTTACTTGGATTTAGTTATTCAAGAGACTTTAAGACTACACCCAGCACTTCCCTTACTTCTTCCTAGGGAAGCCAGAGAAAGGGCAGAGATCCATGGCTATGAGATTCCTTCTCAAACTAAAGTAATTATCAATGCTTGGGCCATTGGAAGAGATCCTCGTTATTGGACAGAACCTGATAAATTTCTTCCAGAAAGGTACTTTGTTCGTCCAACTAACTTTAAGGGGAAAGATTTCGAATTCATCCCTTTTGGTTCTGGAAGGAGAATGTGTCCTGGAATGTCGTTTGGATTGGTTATGGTGAAACTTGCATTAGCAAATTTACTCTATCATTTCGACTGGTACCTCCCTACTGGGACAACCCCTGAAAATCTAGACATGACCGAATGTTTTGCTGCGTCAGTTAGAAGAAAACATAGCTTGTGCTTGATTCCAGTAGCACATGATGCACTACAAAAGTGAAGAACATAAGGTCCTGAAATATAGAGAGTCATGCTCGTCGTCCTAAATTTGTTCTTCAATGCCTAGTTTTCTAGTTCGTGTTGTTATCTATTTTTGTTTGTGTATGATTTCAATATCATTGAATTTTCTTCATTTGTGTTTTTTCCTGTAAGACAAGTTTTATATTTGACTTGGTATGAAAATAAATCAATGAGTAATGTTATGGTTGCTTTAAATCGCGTGTGGATCAATGGACGTAGTAGCCCATTTTAGAACCAACCATACTCCTGTCCAAGTGAATTTGATTCGATAATCTTTATGAGCTAAAACCAATTCTTCATAATGTTATTTTAATCGAGAACAAATGACAAAGTATGTGATATTTGCAATACTCAAATTTGATATTTTTTCTCAAGAATCCTATCATCGAACAAATCAATTCATATCATGCATTGACGAATTGATTATTGCCAGTAGTGTAGTCGGTATTCTTTATAAACTGTGTCCAAAATTTTGAGAAAATGTATAATAAAATAATTTGTAATCTCCATTTTTATAACTCATATTAGGAGAACTTTGTACAGAATATAATTATCATTTAAACTATACATTGAGGACACCAAATAACTTACAATGTTATTTGAACCACATTTGTATGGTTCTATCAAACAAGATACTTTAATCCAAATACCACTAAAATACCACATAAACAATTAATGAGTTATTTGACTCTATAAATACCACATTGACAATTAATCCATTCAAACGACCGACGTATCCTACAAAATAATCATTCTTTAACTACAATATTTATTCTAGTCCTAAGGGTATTGTTTGAACCTAACTGAGTGTAGGAGTTAGATTCAAGTGAGAATTGGGGTCAAGAAGAAGTGCAAGTATTGGGTATGATCGGAAAGTCCAAGCCTGGGGAGTTGAGGGAGAGCAAGAGAAGGGATATTAGAGGGATAAGCTGTTATTGTAGAGAGAGAGTGGTGAAAAATGCGATCCCCTCACCCACCGGAGTAAATGCCATATTTATAGGCTACATGTTGGTGGGTGAGAGGGTGGACTACGAGACGGTACAACGACGTGACTACTGATGTGTCAGGGATATAGGCCATCCCTTAACCTAGGACTTGTCAGAGGGTTGTCTATGATTGCACCTAAAGTCTTGACGTGACCTTCCCTCGGGAAACGCAATGACGCCCTCTGCGGTTATGACGCCTGGTCTTCACACTCCCGCGCGTAGCTTCACCCTTGACGCGCGCAAGGTCTTCCCGCTGCCGGGTGTGTCGCGCGGTCTGATATGTTCTCTTGGCGCGGGGACGATCTCCACACTCGCGCGTGTGGCTTTACCCTTACCGCGCGCAAGGTCTTCGCGTCGCCGGTTGTGTCGCGCGGTCCGATATGCTCCTTTGGCGCGGGGACGATCCGAGTCATATGCCCAACAATTGCCCCCCACAGGGGGTGTTTCTTGAACGCCTCCTGTTGAGATCTCCGCTCTGTTGACTCGGATCCCCGTGCTTCGCGAGAAACGGCGGGCTACGTCCTGTGCGCTCTGAGAGCATCGTGATCGCGCGACTATCTTGAGGTTCCTCCGTTCGTTGCGAGGTGAGGCGCGGTTGTCTTGTGGGCGCGGTTTCCGCGGGGTTCTCTTTGAGTATATTTTTTTGAGGGTGGGGTTTTCTCCTTTGCGGGTGTGTCATGCCCCCCAGGCGTTGCGCGTCATTCGTGACGTCAACGACTAGCGCCTATGCTCGTCATGATTGATTGGGATTGGAGTCTGCCACGTGTCGCTACGCGATTGGTCAACCCTGGTGGCCTTTTGAATTTCAAAATCCTCTGACGGTTGCGATTCTCGATGACCTTTAACCCCCTCGACTTCCCATCATCACCTATAAATGTACGGCTGCTCTCGGGGTTTCTTTACATCTTTCATTCCTCACGTTTTGCTCTCTAGCTTTTCCATCTCTCTGTTTTTCTGAGATTCTTCTTCTTCTTCTACAACCTCAAGTCTGCCATTTGCTACTGCTACTCAAGGTATTGCCATGGATAGCACCAACATGAATGAGACCGAGGTCGTGCAGGGCGAAGAAGGTAATCTTCTTTCTTTCTCACCTACTTCTACCCGACTTGAGTCGGACCCGGCCGATTCCGGCAACGGGGACGACGGTGATGTGAATATCGACGACGGTGTTAGCGATGACGAGGGGGCTTCGGCATCGCCGTCGGCCAACGTCGATTCCGGCAGGGGCTTTCAAGAGTCCTCTAACGCCGATATGGTTCCGTCGGGTAGTGGGGCGGCGGGTTCTAGTGGGGTTCTAATAATCAGGCGTACGCATGACGGAAGATCTGGCGGGGCGACTTCTGAGGCGCGCGATGGATCAGAAACACAATCGGAGCCTCTTTACCATGTCCGTGTGTCAGAAGCGATGAGCCGGCTAGGGTTCCAGGGCATTGGCGCGATCTACACGGTTTTGGATTGGGCCGAGATGTGGGGCGATCAGCCGGCCCCACATGACAACCTTCTCCGTGGGCCTGACCACGCCTCGATTTATGGGCGCGAGGATGTGGAGCAGATCGTGCGTGGGTTAGGGTTGCCCCCCAGCTGGCAGTACGCCGTACCTTCTGTGCGCAGCATGGTTGGGAACTGCCCCCCAGGGTGGTTCGGCGTTTACACGGAGTACTGGGTGATGGGATTTAAATTTCCCATCGATCCCCTGTTGTGCGCCTTATACAGGCGGCTCAAGTGCTCAATCGCGCGGCTATCTCCCTCAGTGATTATGCACGCGAGTTGCCTTAGAACGGCGTGCAAGCGGCTCAAGATTACGCCCACTTACGGGTTATTCCGGAAATTTTACAAGATCAAGGAGCCCACGAAAACTAGTGACTGTCTCTCAATCAAGCGCCGTGACAACAGGCCTGACGGTTTTGTGTACGGCTCACCTAAGCTGCCAAAGACCTGGTTCGAGCGTTTCTTTTACGTGAAGCCCACTCCCGGGGAATGGGCGAGTGAGTATGTTGCGGAGCCGACTACTTGGATGAAGGGTGGCACGCACGCCTACGAGTCGGAGTTGGGCAGATACCCCGGGCTTGATCGGGAGTATGAGGCGTGCTTGCTTCAGAAGTTCAATCTGTACTTGGCTGGAGTCCGCGAGGCCTGCTTGGCCGAACTCTTTGCCGATGGTTAGTTGGCACCTATTTCATTTTGTATTCTTTATTATTAACCGTCCTCTTACTATTTATTGGCGCAGGTGTTGATTTCTCTAGCCTGGCCAGCATGATGTCGGTCGATGAAGTTGTGAAGGCTCCTCGCGCCGGAAGGAAGAAGGGCAGAGAAGGCGCGCAGGCTGCTGGGAAGAAGGGCGAGAAAAGGAAGGCCGCGGAACAGCCAACCTTTGTGGGGAAGGCGCCGAAGGCGGTGCGCATTGTTGAACCGGCGGCAGAGGAGGCGACGGTGACGCCGCGCGTACCTTTGATGCTTGCGGAGCATGCTCCGCGCGTAGCAAGCACCGCTCGGCCTGATAGGGGCGCCTCTGGCAGCTCGTCTGGGGCCGGGAGCCAACAACAGCTGCCGCAGATGGCCGGGGGGGCCATCGACTACTTCCGCGACGTCCGGTTTCATACGGGTGCCGCGTGCAACGTTGCGTCCGCGAATGTTGCACTGCGGGCGTTGGGTCCTCTTTTGGGCGTTCCGTCCCGCATGGAAAAGTCTGATCCGCTCATGGACCTGGCTCAGATCCATTTCGCGGTAAGGTTTTCTGTCAAGTATGAACTGTTACTTTCCCATCAGAAATTTCCTAAGTGTTACTGCGTTGTGTTTGTAGGGCTTGCTGGCGACCTTTCGCGCTCAACAGGAGCGGGGACGTGAGCGCGCGAAGTTGAGATCCGAGGAGTCTCGGATTGAGCAGCTGGAGGGGAGGCTTGCTGGCGCTGAAGGACGCGCGGAGTTGGCCACCACAAAAGCCAATGACGCGCTGGTGGAGCTCGGCGTCCTGCAGAGTAAGTTGGCGGATCAGATGGACACCGTAAGGGAGACCGTCAGGGCGGAGTTGCGGGCGGAGTTTGAGGTGGAGCGGAAGCGTCTATTGGACGAGAAGGAGCGGGAGAAGAAGGAGCTGGTGTCTGATGCCGCAGACAAGTTGAAGCGGGCTCGAGAAGAGTTCGCGAAGGAGAAGAGGGATCTGGTGCGCCTCCATGATGTTGCTAAGGCGGAGGCGGTTCGTGAGGCGCAAGCCATTGCTGTCCGCCAGTACAAGTCTTCCTTGCCATTTGGGAAGATTATCGCGGACGCGATGACTAAGGCTGTGATCGCCGTAGGCAAGAAGGTGCGCCCGGAGAATCCTGATTATCAGTGGGACACGCGTGCCATGGTCGCGCATGTGAAAACATGGTTGAACGAGAAAAGGCCACTGGAGTCGGACTCTGAGTCGGAGGAGGAGGAAGAAGAGGAGGAACGTCAAGAGGAGGGACGTCAGGAAGAAGAGGGACATCACGATAGGGAGAAGGATGTGGGCGCCAGTAGTGGCGGAAAGAAAGCTGACGGGGCGACTACTGATGAGGAGGATGAGGAGGATTCCCAGCCTTTGCTGCGTCGTAAGACAGGCTCGGAGGGTGTGCAGAAGATGTAATCGCGCATCTTTTTTTTTTTTTTTTGCTTTTGACTTTTTACCTTTTGTCAAGTGTGACTGCGGCGTTGAACCTTGATGGTGCTCCCGATTGACTAAATCCAAAAAACTATCTTTTTACGACACTCAATTGCTAGTGCGCTTATCTGTCTTCGCTTATATGTTTTTGCTTATCGAGTGAGCGCGATAGCGCGGTACCGCGGGACTGTTCTGATTTTTGTTTTCAGGCTCGATGGGCGTGAGTAGTGCTGGACTATTGTCTATTTTGTTCCGTGGAACTGAATGGGTGCGAATAGCGCTGGACTATTCTAATTTTTTGTTCCGTAGAACTGAGTGAGCGCAGATAGTGCTGGACTATTGCCTATTTTGTTCCGTGGAACTGAATGGGTGCGAATAGTGCTGGACTATTCTAATTTTTTGTTCCGTAGAACTGAGTGAGCGCAGATAGTGCTGGACTATTGCCTATTTTGTTCCGTGGAACTGAATGGGTGCGAATAGTGCTGGACTATTCTAATTTTTTGTTCCGTAGAACTGAGTGAGCGCAGATAGTGCTGAACTATTGCCGATTTTGTTCCGACGAACCATGTCCTTTTATTTCTTTTGCGCTA